GCACTCTCAGAACTTTCCTCCAACACCACAGTTCAAAAGCATCTATCTTCCTTCGCTTGGCCTTCCCTAAGGTCCATATCTCACATCTGTAGGTGACTATGGGGAATACCATTGCTTTTACTATGCGCATCTTTGTTGCCAGTGTGATGTCTCTACTCTTCACTATTTTATCGAGATTGGACATTGCTCTCCTCCCAAGAAGTAAATGTCTTCTGATTTCCTGGCTGCAATCTGCATCTGCAGTAATCTTTGCACCTAGAAATACAAAGTCTATCACTGCCTTCATGTTTTCTCCCTCTATCTGCCAGTTATCAGTCAGTCTTGTTGCCATAATCTTGGTTTTTTTTAATGTTTAACTGCAACCCAGCTTTTGCGCTTTCTTCTTTCACCTTGATTAGAAGGCTCCTCAGCTCCGCCTCGCTTTCGGCCATCAAAGTGGTGTCATCTGCATATCTCAGGTTGTTAATGTTTCTTCCAGCAGTTTTCACCCCAGCCTTGCATTCATCAAGCCCCGCACATCGGCAATGTTACATAGGAGGAAATTTTTGAGGGGCTTATTGGATTCTTAAAACACAGTCAGCACCTTGAATTGAAATAAATTGAACATCAATGAAGCTGGCACAAAATAAACCCGGTGTGGTCCACATTTCAAGCCATACTGAAACAATCGTCATACTGCAAGCCAGTGGTATCAATGGACTGTGTTCCAGGTCTGCTCCACATTGACTGCATTATAGCATTCCATCACTCAAGGGACTAACAGGGCAAGCCTTAATTCTACACTGACAAGGTCTGTTTCAATACAGTGGAATGTACTCTCAAGTAACCGCGCATAAGATTGCAGCTAAGGAATGAACATCTGAGGCTAGGTTTTGACAGTAGTTGTGGGGAAGCTTTGTCAGCTTATGTTAACTGTGGGTTTGAATAATCAACAGAATGTATGTGGTAAGATTTTCTGTGACCAACAGCGGGGGGAAACCATTATTTCTAGGCATGCGGTATAACAGACAGAAAGGAAAGGAAAGGAGAAGTGACATTTTAGGGAAGTTGCATGGCAGCGACTTTGCATTCCGCGCACACCCTCCCACATACACAACTCCCTTGAAAAATGCATAATTTGTGCAGCAAGAACATTCAGATGAGGTCTGGCATCTTGGCTTTGCTTTTTTCTTGAATTAAAGACTTTGCTTCAGCCTCAAGTAGGATCTACTCAGTTCCAACTATAGTGAAAATTTACAGAGCTGGATTGTTGTAGGTTTTTCCGGGCTATATGGCCATGTTCTAGAGGCATTTTCTCCTGACGTTTCGCCTGCATCTATGGCAAGCATCTGGTCTGTTGGAACTAGGAAAAAGGGTTTATATATCTGTGGAATGACCAGGGTGGTGCAAAGGACTCTTGTCTTCTGGAGCTAGGTGTGAATGTTTCAACTGACCACTCTGATTAGCATTTGATTTCCTGGCAGTGCCTGGAGCAATCTTTTGTTGAGAGGTGATTAAATTCCTTGTTTGTTTCCTCTCTGTTGTTGTGCTGTTCTAATTTTAGAGTTTTTTTTAATACTGGTAGCCAGATTTTGTTCATTTTCATGGTCTCCTCCTTTCTGTTGAAATTGTCCACATGCTTGTGGATTTCAATGGCTTCTCTGTGTAGTCTGACATGGTGGTTGTTGGAGTGGTCCAGCATTTCTGTGTTCTCAAATGATATGCTGTGTCCAGGTTGGTTCATTAGGTGCTCTGTTATGGCTGACTTCTCTGGTTAGGTTAGTCTGCAGTGCCTTTCATGTTCCTTGATTCGTGTTTGGGCAATGCTGCGTTTGGTGGTCCCTATGTAGACTTGTCCACAGCTGCATGGTACACGGTAGACTCCTGCAGAGGTGAGAGGATCCCTCTTGTCCTTTGCTGAACGTAGCATTTGTTGGATTTTCTTGGTGGGTCTGTAGGTGGTTTGTATGTTGTGTTTCCTCATCAGCTTCCTTATGCTGTCAGTGGTTCCCTTGATGTATGGCAAGAACACTTTTCCTCTGGGTGGATATTTGTATTTCCTCTCATGGCTTGTTCTTGGTCTTGCAGCTCTTCTGATGTCTGAGGTGGAGTATCCATTGGCCTGAGAGCCCAGTTGAGGTGGTTCAATTCATCTTGGAGGAGGTGGGGTTCGCAGATTCTTTTTGCACGGTCTGCCAAGGCTTCTCATGTCGCTCATGAGAAGTTTTATTGTTAAATCCTTAGTTAAGTATAAGCTGATACAGCAGTGGTTCTCAACCTGTGGGTTCCCAGATGTTTTGACCTTCAACTCCCAGAAATCCTAACAGCTGGTAAACTGGCTGGGATTTCTGAGAGTTGTACGCCAAAATGCTTGGGGACCCACAGGTTGAGATCTACTGTGATACAGCATTCCAGCCAGAAATTCCTCCTCCCAAAGATTCACAAATAATAATATAAGTAGCTCTGTGTGTAAGAATTTCGGGCTATATAGCCATGTTCTAGAGGCATCTAGAGGAATGCCTCTAGAATATGGCCATATAGCCTGAAAAAACCTACAACAACCCACTGTTCTACACTTTTGTAGCATTTTAGTTGCCCCTAAGAACAATATAGGCCAATTGCAGGTTGTAAAAATTTCCATTTGAGCAAAGAGGGGCACGGTTGCACATTTGATTGATTACATAACATAGTTTTATAATTTTGGGGGTGTATTTAAGATTTTAAGGAACATTTCATTTCAGAAATTATTTAAAGTCTATCTAGCCTTTGTCTTTTGATTTCCTATGAGGTATGAGCTGCTGGGCCACAGGGAGCTTGATGATAGTAGGTATACAGGGCAACCTTATTTTGATCATTTTGAGCATTCAGATCACCAGCCATTATTATTGGAGCTTCAGGGAATCTATTTGACAAGCTGATTATGTATTATCCAGCTTGGTCCAGTCTCTTCATACCAGCTCTTTTTTCCATTGTGGTGGAATATATGCATCTATATAAATAAAAATGTTAGTTTGTGGGATAACTAAAAAAACCGACTGGGAACTAATTGCCGCCAAATTTGGCCACAAGACACCTACTAACCCAAGGAGTGATCATCACTAAAAAAAATTTGATTTTGTCATCTGATAGTTGTAGTTGCTGGGATTTATAGTTTACTTACAATCAAAGAGCATCCTGAACTCCACCAGTGAGGGAAATGAACCAAACGTGGCACACAGGACTCCTGTGACCAACAGAAAACACTAGAAGGGTTTGGTGGGCATTGACCTTGAGTTTTGGAGATGTAGTTCACCTACATCCAGAGAACACTGTAGACTCAAACAATGATGGATCTGGACCAAACTTGACACGAATATTCCAAGGTATATTTTCCCCAAACAGATTGAGTTTGGGGAAAATAGACCTTGACATTTGGGAGTTGTAGCTACTGAGATTTATAGTTCACTTACAGTCAAAGAGTATGCTGAACCCCACCAACGACAGAATTGGGGCAAACTTCTCACACAAAACCCCCATGACCAACAGAAAATACTGAAGGCCATCCAGTCCAACTCCCTTCCCCAGGGCAAGAAAACGTAATCAAAGCCCTCCTGACAAAGGGCCATCCAGCCATAGATAGATATATATGATTCACACACACACAGTATCATAGATTTGAAAGGGACCCCTAAAGAAGGACAATTTTGCATGTTCCAGAGTAGGCAAACCAGACAATCTCCACATCAACATATATTAGAAACCAACACTTTCTAATTACTTTATTTTCCAGATCACCAGACTGGGCCACAGCAACACATGGCAGGGGACCGCTAGTTAATTAATAAAAGGGTATAGAGAGCTGTAGCCAGGTAATCCTGTAGTTCCAGTTTAACCAATGATTCCCACAATCTTGCTGCCACTAGCATACATAGCCCTTTTTTTGGGGTCGCTCTCCCTTATTACTAGGGGCCTCTGCTAAGGAATGAGAAAAATAATCATTAACATATCCATTATAGCCCAAGTCTCTTGGAGAAATATAATCTCATATTTTTCAATGAATCCTCTAAAAGGAAGGGTCTAATGCCTTCCTTGACCACCCTGCAATATTCCAGGATAGAAGTGACAGCTGGGGTCTCTTTTGGTGGTACGCGCTTTTCAGGGTGCTATTATAGCATTGCTTGATCAAAAGGGTTTTGTCTTTGTTTGAGTGGGGATGTTCCTTTGTGATTACTTTTCCTGGCATCTGGCATCCAGCATCTTGCTTCTTGCTTATGTGAATCTGGTTTTTGCCCAATATCATATTTTACAAGCCTATTTGTTTTTAGCCTATTTAGAAGTCCTTTGGGAGTGAAAGGTACTTTCTCTGCAGCAATGATCACATTATATTTTATTAAAGAAAGTGTTGAGATTAACTTCACAATTCAGCAGCAGATCAGTTGCACAACTTCAGTGCTTTCCAGTAGCTTCTTCCTGCACAGTATTTTCAGTCAACTGCTCCCACAGCCTGCAATCACTCTGGAACCTTTTACAGACACTTGAGCACATGCCCGGCCATTGTCAGTTTTACCATTGTCTTTCCCCCAGTCTAGATGATATTACAAACTTACCACAGCATACAGTTATATCTTGTCTTAGCAGACAGGTTCTTTTAATTAATTATATATAGCCTTCGACAAACAACAGCACAGCACAAGGAGAGAGAATACACTGTACATGACTTCCTTATATACAATTCTTTTACACATAGCAATCTCTGATTGGTTCCCAACTCACTGACTTAACTCAGACCCAGGATTGCATCATTCACAATCACCTGGACTAGGCCAGAACACATTCCCCAAATGAAGTTCTATATACAGTTAATGCATGACTCAGCATTTCCAATAGAAGCCCATTAGCAGTGCATGACTCAGCTATATTACATTACAATACATTGTAAAACCTGGCATATTTTTATTCAGACACAATTTTGTTAAAGATGATTCTTTTTAGGCTGTCACAGAATGTGCATGTTGATATTGCCACAACTGTTTTGAATGCAGGGTAGCATGTTTAACACCTGGAAACCGATGTGGGTTGTGCTGTCTGAAGATGCCATTGAATTCTTTAAGAAGAAGACTGACACCAACCCTAAAGGAATGATTCCTCTAAAAGGGAGCACCCTAACAAGTCCCTGCCAGGATTTTGGTAAAAGGATGGTAAGTCTGTATGTCTTCTAAAGAACACTGAATAAAGGGTGTGGCATTTGGTAGACATTTTCACCAGAGTTATGGTTCTACCAGATCTTCTTGTTGGCTAACTAAGCCATGAAGAAAAAGTCAGCCTAGAAAACAACGCTTCTCATTATGTTTTTTTTTCTATCTCCCTACGGGTGGGTTCACCTGTTCCTTCTTTAAGGGATCACCTTATATGGAAATCTATGAAGTTCAGCTTTGTTGAAAAGATCTATTTTGTACCCTAGGACCTCATCCCACATATTATAGGCTCAATTTCGGGGACTCAATGAGTTTTTTTAATCATCTTTATTATGCAGATTTTCAGTAATTATGACATACAGTACGAAGGGAGGGATAAAGGGAAGTACAATTGGGGGAATAGGGGGTAGGGGTAGGGGGATGGGAGGTAAGGGAGGTAAGGGAGGGAAATAAGGGAGGGGAGTGAGGTGAGATGACATGTTAAACATATGATTGACTTCCAGTAGAGTCCACAGGGTAATAAAAAAAAGAAAACAAAATACCTGCTTTCTAGTTTCTTCGTAACAATTTTTTTATATGTTTATAAAACACCTTCACTGTTCTTATATCTGGACACCGCTGTGAGTCGCCCTCGGGCTGAGAACAGCGGTATATAAGCAAAGTAAATAAATAAATAAATAAATAAATAAATGTTTTTCCTTTCCTCTAAATATTTCTTCAGTGGTTGCCAGTCGATTCTTCTCTTCTTACTTTTTCATAAACCATATTCGCCAAGTCGTTCATTTCCATATATTCCCTAATTTTCAGAATCCAAGATTCGAATGTAGGGAGTTCTTTAGATTTCCATTTTCTAGCTAGAACATTCCTTGCTGCGGCTGACAAGTAATACAGTAATACAGTAACTTATCATGATTTAGTCCTGGATCAAAATCTATTAGATGCAGTAGGTAATACTCCGGTTTCAACTCAAATTTTGTCTGCAAGATTTTTTGTGTATGTGAATGTATCTCTTTCCAAAAACTTTTTACTTTTTTGCATTGCCACCATATGTGGTAATAGGTGCCTAATTGGGAGGGGGGGGCTCAATTTCAATGCATTTGGAAAATGGAGTCCCTCGGAGGCCATCATGTGTTGTAAGGGCCCATCCAGTGGGACTTAGTGGGATTCGATTTCCGCAGTGCATGGAAACATAGCCCAGAATACATTTTGAGGAGTTAGGTGCTACCCAACTCCAACTGGCTTAAGACAGTGAAATACGAAGGAAAGACGAGGAAAGGACATCCCAGAAGAAGGACCTCAAAAGTACTGAATGAAGTAAGATGGTTCCCTGTACTTTTCACCACTTCCCCCTCCCCTCTCCCGTTCATGGGATGAGGTCCCTAGATGTCTTTGGAGAACCCAGACCTTTGAGGATCTCTAGAGCAAGCAGGCAAACCAAGAATTGGAATCTGCCTATATCAAAACATTTAATGTGATGCTTTCCAACTCTGTTAGACTCCAAATCCCATCACCCCATGACCATTTTATTGTAGTCCAGATAAAAGACATCAGGCCAGGAAAGGCTGGTTTATCCAATGGTACTATGTAATTCCCCAGCTCAGAAAGGTCTGGTGGAGACACATATCTCGAAACTACAAAATTTCCCACTGCAAAACTGAACAATTACAAAGATTCTTTAAGGTTGGCAATTACAGAGACGTATAGTAAGGTGTTGCTACAAGGTGTTATTTTTCATGTGCCCTTGTTACATGATGTAACAAGGGCACACTTCAATTTCTTTTCTAAAATCAGAGCATAGAGATGTTAGTCTTTTGACTGCAGCACCCAAAATACCTTGTTTGATTGTTGTCACAGCTTATAAACATACATTATACCCATACTCATGGGGAAAATAAATGCTGACCATTACAAAACCCATTTCTATTCCAGTTTGTCTTTAAACTCACAACTACCAAACAGCAAGATCACTTCTTCCAAGCCTCTCACCTTGAGGAGAGAGATGCGTGGGTGAAAGACATTAAGAAAGCCATAAAGTGCATTTTGGGAGGCCAAAGATTTTCCAGAAAATCAACCAGGAAATCTGTCAAGCTTCCAACAACAATCAATCTAAGGTTTGTGAAAAGTTAACTTTAGTTCATTCCCTGGAATAGAGAGTTGAACTGTCATAAGTGAACAAGAGAGGAGTAACATCCTTCATTTATGGCAGTGGTTCCCAATCTGTGGGTCCCCAGATGTTTTGGCCTTCAACTCCCAGAAATCCTAATAGCTGGTAGGCTGGGATTTCTGGGAGTTGTAGACCAAAACACTGGGGACACACAGGTTGAGAACCACTGACTTAGGGGTTAATCACACCCCATCCAAACTTCTGATGCTGTTTTTGTGGTTGTTTTGAATGAAGAGGAGCAGCCCCAGGAAATGGAGATTAAATGTGAAATAGTGGTGTTCCAGAGTGGTGTTAATTTGTCATAGACCTCTCTCCTCCAAATCACTTCCAATTTGCCTTTTCTCCTATGCAGAGTGTATCTCTGTGTATATGTTCAAAATGAATATTGAAAGTCTAAATAAGGATGTGGGGCATCCACATGGCACACCACTGGATGTGTCGTCAGAGGTGGCCCTAGGTAATTTTCAATGGTAAGCAAACAGTATTTTGGCGTGCCCCCCCCCCCAACCAATCTGATATATATTTTCTGTTTGTTGTGGGAGTTCTGTGTGCCATATTTGGTTCAATTCCATCATTGGTGGAGTTCAGAATGCTCTTTGATTTAGGTGAACTATACATCCCAGTAACTACAACTCGCATATGTCAAGGTCTATTTTCCCCCAAGAGACCCCTGGGCAAAATCAACTATACTGCAAATGCTTACTTTGCGTAATGGGTTGAGCCGCCCCTGTGTGTCGTGCTTCCACCCTTAATTCAACTCAAGGGGAGACATGATTTACTCCAAAGCTTCCACAGCAATCTCAGAGCTTTGGATGTGTGAGATCCAGCCTAATTCATTCCCCACAAGTCCAACAGACCCACCATTGGCTATATTCAGCTCTCAGTAGAGTGGGTGTAACTTCTAGTAATCAGGAATCAAATAAGATAATGGGTTGTTGTATGTTTTTTCGGGCTATATGGCCATGGTCTAGAGGCATTCTCTCCTGACGTTTTGCCTGCATCTATGGCAAGCATCCTCAGAGGTAGTGAGGTCTGTTGGAACTAGCAAAAAGGGGTTTATATATCTGTGGAATGACCAGGGTGGGACAAAGGACTCTTGTCTGCTGGAGCTAGGTGTGAATGTTTCAACTGACCACCTTGATTAGCATATAATGGCTTGACAGTGCCTAGAGCAAACTTTTGTTGAGAGGTGATTAGATGTCCTTGTTTGTTTCCTCTCTGTTGTGCTGTTGTAATTTTAGTATTTAAGAACACAGAAATGCTGGACCACTCTCACAACCACTCTAACAATCAGACTACACAGAGAAGCCACTGAAATCCACAAGCATTTGGACAATTTCAACAGAAAGGAGGAAACCATGAAAATGAACAAAATCTGGCTACCAGTATTAAAAAAAACTCTAAAATTACAACAGCACAACAACAGAGAGGAAACAAATAAGGACATCTAATCACCTCTCAACAAAAGTTTGCTCTAGGCACTGTCAGGCCATTATATGCTAATCAAGGTGGTCAGTTGAAACATTCACACCTAGCTCCAGCAGACAAGAGTCCTTTGTCCCACCCTGGTCATTCCACAGATATATAAACCCTTTTCCTAGTTCCAACAGACCTCACTACCTCTGAGGATACTTGCCATAGATGCAGGCGAAACGTCAGGAGAGAATGCCTCTAGACCATGGCCATATAGCTCAAAAAAACCTACAACAACCCAGTGATTCCGGCCATTAAAGCCTTCGACAATACAAATAAGATAATCTTTTTGGAAGCTGTGGCCATAGGTCAGTTTGTAAAGTTGTTAGGAAAGAGGTCCAAGAAGATTTATGATTAATTCCTAACTCAACATTCTTTCCTAACTATTAATCATTTCTACCTCCTAACAGTAACTTGTATGTTTCAATGAAAGACCCTGACAAAGGGATAAAAGAAATGAAACTGGAAAAAGACAAGAAAATATTCAATCACTGCTTTACAGGTAAAGAACTTTTACCAGCATTTTTTAGAGAACTATAAATTTATTTACAGTATTTATATACTGCCTTTCTCACCCCTAGGGGGACTCTATAAAACAGAGTCATAGTGTGATTATCTGTTAAGAATCCAGATGAGGGATCGGATCCTGTGATAGAAGGCAGTGTAGATCCAGCCTCAGTTTAATAGGACTCTGTGGTATATTGAATTGGATGTCCGAAATGTTTTAAATGTTATGGATGTTTTTTAATTCACTTGTAATGTTCACCTTTCATGTGCTTCAACTGTATTGTGTTTGTTTTGATTTGGCAGTTTGAGCAAGCGTTTGACAATGCAGTGCAACAGACATAGGAATATGGAACGATTGGATGATGATTTTGGACAGCGTTTTTAATTAAGAGTTATTTATGATTTATGTTTTTAATTGATCTTGTTATTTTAAATGGTGTATTTTAATATTTAGATAAATGTGTTTTAATGTTTATGTATTGTATCCAGGCATTGAATGTTTGCCATGTATATGTTGTGCTCCGCTCTGAGTCCCCTTCAGGGTGAGAAGGGCGAAATATAAGTGTTTTAAATAAATAAATAAATAAATAAATAAATAATATTGTATTTATTGTTTATGTTTATTGCTTTTGTTTATTGAGGTACTGTGGGCTTGGCCTCATGTAAGCTGCTCCGAGTCCCTTGGGGAGATGGTGGCGGGGTATAAATAAAGTTTATTATTATTATTATTATTATTATTATTATTATTATGAATGTTTTTAAATGTTTTATGCTGTTGTTGGCATTACATCGTTGCCTTTGTTAACCGCCCTGAGTCGCCTGCGGGCTGAGAGGGGCGGTATATAAATATAGTAAATAAATAAAGAAATAAATAATTTGTAGGTTGTCTTGGCTCTTTGCTGTGGGGAAAAGGCAGGACATTAGCCAGGCCTTTACTGGGCTTAGGGATGCAGGAAAAACTGCAAATTACAAAAAGTAAAAATGGAGGTCTACAAATGCATAGAGAACTGTGACCTCTAGGAAGTTCTACACCCTATAGTGCAACTCTATGGCTGGTGTTGACAAAGAGTTATGCTGGAGGATCTAGAAATTCTTATAATAAAACTATAATAATAAAACTTTATTTATACCCTGCTGAAATGGCAGGGAATAGGTTTTGAGGAAAGGAGACACAAAGAGAGGTCCTGGAGGTCTGAAAAGCACGGATTTATTTATCCAGCTGGGGCCCTGGAGTGGACTAGCGCCCAAAAGCACACCAGAGCAAATGACAGAGGGGCGGACTGTGGCTTTTATAGATTCCAGGTTCAGGCAAACAAAGAACATGCTACTACATACATTTACATGATTCATTGTGTCATCTTAGCATCATAAGAATATCAAATTCTAACTTCCAACATGCAAAAAGGCATTTCTGTGTATTTCGAGGAGCAGCCTGCATCCATCAGTCAAGAGGCCCACTTTGAGTTGTCAGGAGGGAGGAGGGATTAAATTTGCAAATGTGGAAGTCCTACTTTAAAGACTATGAGGATGACAGCCCTTTCCCTTTGTTTAATCTATCTTATTAAGCCTGAGCTATCTACTGCATGTCTACTAACACTCCATGGTTTGTTCCTTTGCTACCAGGCAGTTGCGTCATTGACTGGCTTCTATCCAATAATGCCATCCAAAATCGCCAAGGGGGTCTAATGGTGGCATCAGCCCTGTTGAATGAAGGTTATTTTCAGGCTGCTGGGGAGCTATCCAAAACTGCAGCTGAAGGCCTGTCGGAAACTCCCTTCCTTGACAATGAGGACGCCTATTATTACTTTGTAAGTTTTAAAGCATGAGGTATCTCTGCAGCCACTGTGGGGCCAGGAATGAATTTCTTCCACGCCGCCAACTCCCATAGTTTGGCACTTCCAGCTGCCATTTTCTCTATCTTCATAGTTGAGGGATTGACACGTGGAGATTAAACCGCCATGTTTATGATCCAATTTAAGCGATTTCCCCTCTTGTTATAGGAAAAATGAACTACCCAAAATCAGCACATGTAAATGGGGCAGTCTATCTATCTTTCTATCTATCTATCTATCTATCTTTCTATCTATCTATCTATCTATCTATCTATCTATCTATCTTGCGATCTATCTATCTATCTATCTATCTATCATCTTTTGCTCTATCTAGAAATTAATGTTTTGTGACAGGGTACTGTAGGGGTAGGGACTGATTGAATGTATTGTTATGCAGGTTTCTTCTTTTTCTGTAGAACATTGGACATATATATCTATGTCTGGATCTACACTGGCATATAATCCAGTTCAAAACGGATAATCTAGATCAGAAACTGGATTATATGCCCATATAGATAGGCCTATGTATCTTTCCAGGTACTACACATATATAGGTTGGAGGGCTGACTTTAATCCCCAGGTGTTTTGGCCTACAACTCCCAGAAATCCCTGCCAGTTTACCAGCTGTAAGGATTTCTGGGAGTTGAAGGCCAAAACATCTGGGGACCCACAGGTTGAGACCCACTGGTTTACACAAACATTTGTCTCACAGCATTTCCTCCTCTTTGCATAATTGAAATTAACTACCTTACACACCTGCTATGTGAGATCAGGATCAAGAGATTCTAGAGACCATATTCATCAATGGGTTGCTATGAGTTTACCGGGCTGCATGGCCATGTTCCAGAAGCATTTTCTCCTGATGTTTTGCCCACATCTATGGCAGGCATCCTCAGAGGTTGTGAGGTCATTTGACTATTTAGTCATCAAATCTGTGAACAATCATATCCACAAAAATTAAGCAATCGCGTCTGGTGGGGACGAAGGACAGGACCTTCTCGGTGGTGGCCCCTCAGCTCTGGAACTCTCTCCCGTTGGAGATTAGATCTGCCCCTTCCCTCCTGACTTTTAGGTAAAATCTTGGCTTTGGAATATAGCATTTGCAGAATGATGATGGAGTCAATAATGGCTGACCACACTGGCGGATGGTGATGAATTTGTGATTTTACTCTGACGACCTGGCTTTTGTAATTGTATGATCTGTATTTTAATGTATTTTTGTATTAATGTATTATGATGCTATTATGTTTATTCTATTTGTGTATGAATTTTCTGCTGTTAGCCGGCCTGAGTCCCTCTTCGGAGGTTGAGAAGACCGGGTTATAAAAGCTCTAAAAAAAATAAATAAGCCTGCAGATTGGAGGGCTGACTTTTAATCCTATTTATTTGCCATACAGGCACACATTTCTGCCTTTGATTATAAAACATCATAGAGCTTCTCCTGGCAAGCCAGTGTCTTGGAAACCTTAGAGGCCATGAATCACTGCAGTCGAGGGAGAGTTTGTCCCAATTACCAGACATTTGATAGGATGGATGCTTTGTGTCGATCTGTAAATGCCTTCTGCAAATTCTGTTTTAGCCCCAAAAATTTAACCACATATTAGTCCAAACCTTTGAACACGCTTTTCAGAAATGAGGTCAGTAAAACCAACGCTCAACTTTGGGTGCATTGGTTTGAAGAGCATGCTTACTAGCTGTAATAACCACACATTTCCTGGTTTAGCTATAAGTGGACTGTGGGAGTAGTTCTGTCACCAAAGGGAGCAGTCTTCTCACCTCTTTGGCTTTCAGAGTTGTGCGGGGAGAGTTAAACTCCAGAATTTGAAGAAGGCAAGCAAGTTGATTTTACTCACATCTCCTGCTACTCCTCTCTGTTATCAAATCACCAAATACATATTTGCAACTAGCTGTCCTCTGCCACACGTTGCTGTGGCCCAGTCTGTGTATATGTGTTTTGTGTGTCTATACGTGTGTCTATATATTTGTGTATATATGTGTGTTTGCATTTTTTTTATCGTGTGACTTGAGAAACTGCAGTCGCTTCTGGTGTGAGAGAATTGGCCGTCTGCAAGGACGTTGCCCAGGGGACGCCCGGATGATTTTGATGTTTTTATCATCCTTGTGGGAGGCTTCTCTCATGTCCCCGCATGAGGAGCTGGAGCTGATAGAGGGAGCTCATCCGCCTCTCCCCGGATTCGAACCTGCAACCTGTCGGTCTTCAGTCCTACCGGCACAGGGGTTTAACCCACTGCGCCACCGGGGGCTCCGTGTGTTTGCATATATGTGTGTGGTTTTGCACATACGTTGTTCAATCCCCATGAGCTCCTCCTCACAAATGTACCTTTTTCATTTCTATCTCATCCAGAGTTTTACCATTTTATGTTGTGCATTTGGCCCACCCACCGTATTTGATTTTCCATTATGTTATTTTGTACTGTTTATTTACTTGATTGGTTTATTTATTTTAATGGTAATGTTATTTTGTTGTTTATATTTAATGTTGCTATAATGTATCATTGGGCTTGGCGAGTCCCCTTTGAGGGAGATGGTGGTGGGGTATAAATAAATTATTATTATTATTATTATTATTATTATTATTAATGTAATTTTTGTTTTTTGTCTTTTTAAGTCCTTTCCACTGTGTTTTTCAATGTTTTTATGAGTGATTGTCACTCATTGGCATGATAGTTGTCTTGTGTCCAAATTTGGTGTCAATTCATCCAGTGGTTTTTGAGTTACTGTATATACTCGAGTATAAGCCTAGTTTTTCAGACCTTTTTTGGGCTGAAAATGTCCCTCTCAGCTTATACTCGAGTCAAGGTTATTTATTATTTTACTCTGTTATAAAGACGTAATAGAAGTATTATTATTATTATATTTATTATTTTATTTTATCATTGTTATTATTACATTTATTATTTTACTCTATTAATTATTGTTATTATTACATTTATTATTTTACTCTATTTTTATTGGAAGGGTACACAAGCACATTTACATTGAAGACGGTCAGAACGGTTTAATCAGAGTTGAGCAGTCTTACAGTTTAATGTAAATATTCAAAAACATTTACCCTCCTGATGCCTCAATTAATGTAATTTTATTGGTATCTAATTTTATTTTGAAGTTTACCAGTATCTGTTGCATTTCCCACCCTTGGCTTATACTCAAGTCAATCTGTTTTCCCAGTTTTTTGTGGTAAAATTAAGTGCCTCGGCTTATATTCGGGTCGGCTTATACTCGAGTATATACGGGATGTTAATCCCACAAACGAACATTACATTTTTATTTATATAGATACATGTACACAATTGATTTGCTCCTAAAACTGAATTTCATATTGCTCTGTATGCCTTAGCTAGACTAGGTCTTCTTAGGCTGCTTCGGCACTGCCATATAATCCAGTTCAAAGCAGATAATCAGGATTTTATATGACAGTGTAGAAGGGCTTAAACTTGCCCACTCAGAACTTCTTTTGCCCCATTTTTAAAAACCTAACCCCAGGTATATAGCTATGTAAAACAGGTATAAAAATAAAACATATACTGATAACATACCAGTATTTGTAAGACTTAATAACCAGGCTGTTTCCGTGTATTGTCGAAGGCTTTCATGGCCGGAATCAGCCTGGGTTGTTGTAGGTTTTTTCGGGCTATATGGTCATGTTCTAGAGGCATTCTCTCCTGACGTTTCGCCTGCATCTGTGGCAAGCGTCCTCAGAGGTTGTGAGGTCACTACCTCTGAGGATGCTTCCAATAGATGCAGGTGAAAAGTCAGGAGAGAATGCCTCTAGAACATGGCCGTATAGCCCGAAAAAACCTACAACAACCCAGGCTGATTCCTTTTTGCGAAGCACAGTTGAAGCCTTTTCTGGAGAGTTCACTGTAAATACTGCACAACAGAGTCATATAAATGCCTAAAAACACCACTAGGTGACATTCAGAAAATTGTTCGGGTTCAATGGGGACCCACAATTTAAAAAACAGTGAGCTAGATGCTAATATTATGTAAGAAAATATTAGTGGGATAGTAACTAGGAATATCTACCTTAGGACTACTCAATCCTCCCAAATATATATATCAGCCACATTTTGTAATCTGATTTTGCCCTCTGCTTCAATATCCACAGGCTGAAAATATATTTCATTATTTCCCCTCCTCTATAAGCAGCAGGTTTTTTTTTGTTGTTGTGTCAGGAGCGACTTGAGAAACTGCAAGTTGCTTCTGGTGTGAGAGAATTGGCCGTCTGCAAGGATGTTGCCCATGGGATGCCCAGACGTTTTGATGTTTTATCATCCTTGTGGGAGGCTTCTCTCATGTCCCTGCATGAGGAGCTGGAGCTGATAGAGGGAGCTCATCCGCACTCTCCCCGGATTCGAACCTGCAACCTGTCGGTCTTCAGTCCTGCCGGAACAGGGGTTTAACCCACTGTGCCACCGGGGGCTCCAATTATAAGCAGCAGTGACCCTGACTTTGTTGGTATCTACCCTTCCTCATACTGTGTCTTCTCAGCTACTCCTTCCCATTTCCTCTGAGGTTGGAATGTGTGGCAAATGGGAGCAACATGGCTAAATAAATGTTCCTTAAAAAAGAAAATAAAAGAAAAAAGCCTGAATAGTTTAGACAGAAAAGGAACAAGTTAATAATCACGTTGAAGTTTTTTAAAAAGAAAAAAAATACTTAGCACAATGTCTTTGAACAGGCAGACAGTGGATTCTTCTGCGAAGGAAATTCCAGTGACGATGATGGGGTTTTCAAGGAAGAGTTCAGAGGTGTGGTGATCAAACAAGGATGTCTACTGAAACAGGTCAGTATCTATAAATCCTTGTTGTTGAGATGGCACAGAAAGAAAATCCATCTCGTGCAAATATAGAAATCTGTCAAAAGTCATTCCGGAAGAGCTATGCCAAACTTTCCTTTGACTTTGTCAACTGGGTTCTCGGTGTGTGGTAGGGATGAAGTCTTCATGAACCATATTTTGAATGCAAGAAAGAATAATTTGTACCATTTGTCAACTTGTGGTGAGATAGTTGTTGAAACCAATGAAGTTTTGAAAGACTCTTTACAGTTCAAGATGAGGGTGAGGTGGAGAAATAATATCTTTATGTGTGCAAAATACTTTTTGTACAGATATCAACAAAAACCCATGTATTTTTCATGCAGAATAAGTCCCAAACTACCATGTTTCTTACCTAAGACTCTCCTCTTGAGCATTTCCCTTCACTCAAGAAACCATTTTGAAATATTCTTTTCATCTGTAGCATCATGCATTGTATTGCTGGGTGGCAATTTGCTGCTAATAAATGGGTACAGCAAATAAATAATTCCCATTAATTCAGAACAAACTCAGGGTGCTTCCAGGCAGGCCCTAAATTCATGCCTAAAT